CAGGCAGGACTTGGGTGAAGAATTTTGATACAGCCATTGTGGGGAAGGGGAAGGGAGCCAGCTAGAGAAAAGCTGCAGCGGAGGTTGGAGAATTCGAGTCTGTGGTAGGGCTGCTCACCCACATCTGAGCAGTCCAAAGAGTCTTCTAGGGCACTTGGGGAACCCTCATGAGTGCTTCAGGTTTTCTGCAAAACAAAAGAAGTCTTTTCTATAAATCAGTGATGATGTAAACTACCTGTAGAACCTATTTGTCTAGAAGATCTGCTTCACATTAGGGGTTTCAGGGAAAATACTTATTGAAAAAGTTTCACTGGTAAAATGTTGGACTAAAGAAGCAGTATCTCTGGCATAGCTGTTTTCTTTCTGGTGTTTTATGCACTTGTTTTGTTGTAGATGTTAGTGGAACACAATGTAAAATAATGGATAGTGAGTCCATCTCAAAGGGAGAATTTTGAAAGTAGCTGTTGCTATTTGGAGTGGCTCATCGGGGTTTATCTGCCCTCTGTTTGGTTAAGGCAGTGGTTTTCAACCTACACGCATGCGCACACACATGCACACATTCAATTGTGCATATAATTTCAAGGATTCAAAGACCAGAGATCCCAGATAAAATCCTAGTGAGTCACATAGCAAGAGCTCTTACTGGGGAAGATGTCCATTTGTGTTTAGCCAACAGAAGGCTCATTTTTCCTCTTAGAATTGATAAGTAGTATTGTCACTGAGACTGTTTCTTCTCCAGGCCTCAAATGTCAAAACTTCACCTTCTTACCTTAGACCAAGAATTTACCAAAAGTTATTCTGACTCAAAGTCTGTTATCCCTTTGATATCATATAACTAGTTAATATAGAAAACACTTGTAACAGTATAAATGTCCACATAGTACAAGTTGTACTTTGTTTTGTATTTTAAAAGTAATCTGTGTGTGCACAGACTTTTATAGGGCATCAGTAGTTGTCCTGCCATATTGAAGAGAGAGAAGGGAGGGATCTAACATTTACTGAGGACTTAGGATACATCAGGTTCTCTGTGTGTAACTTGTTTAGTCAACACAGTATTGCCATTAGACGGATATTACTTTTACTATTTGAATGATGCAAAAACTGAGGTTCAGAAAGTCTAATACATTTGCCTAAATGACAGTTAATGAGTGGCTGAGCCAGCATTGAAATCCTGGTTTCTTCTAAGTCTTTGCTTAACAGAGAACACTGGAGAGTTGTTGCTTTTTGGCTACCTTGCATTTATTTCTCTCTTTTCTGGAGAGTTAGTACCTCTGTTCCCCACCCCACTGCCCCCAAACTCTATTCTATTATATGCCCTTAAAACTATTAATCAAGTTACCCTGCCTCTTGACACAAGCTAGGATAATCATATTCTCTTTGAGTTGTTTGAGTCTTACATGGAGACACTCAAAGATTGAAACCTTTGTTGGAACTAATTCTTTCTAGTATTAACACCATAAATGAACTAACTGTTGACTCTTGCTACCTAACTGTCCCTGCAACCCCAAGTTACCCTGTTGGTTCTCTAGGTTTCTTTTTGATTCTCTGGGCTATTCAGTATCCTCTAATAAACTGATTTCTTTTGTAGGTTATGTAGTGCTATGGGCTGAATTGTGTCCCCTCTATTTGTATGTTGATGCCCTGACCTTCAATGTGATGGTGTTTGGAGATGGGGCCTTTGGGAGATAATTAGGTTTCAATGAAGTTACAAAGGTGAGACTCTCATGGTAAGATTAGTATCTTTGTAAGAAGAGACGCT